GCGACGACTAGGGTTATATTTGACATTTCGAAACTATATGTATTAGATATATGTAAAACGGGTCATTTTAATGTAGATTACGGAGTTACATTCTCCTCATGAGTTTGCTGCAAAAGAAAGCCTATTCTTGGAATTTTAAATCCTACCTCTGGCATAATTCCGAAGTCGAAATTTATTTACATTTATTTTATAACATTCGTCTTGGTATTTGGTATGCGGGGAACAACAGCAAACTCAAACTATAAATAGTGCTGTAAATTCCGTCTCAATATTCTACAGATATTGTGTTCAGCTGTCGTCAGGAAACTGTATCATTGAGTTGGATTGACTCTCAAATGTTAATAGTCTCGAATGAATTAGTAATAGAACAGCAGTACGAGCAGAAAAACCTGCCGTTTTCAAATATTTTTAATCTAGCTTTTGCTCGTTCAGTGATCCAGATTTTGACTAATTTGGTCAGCAAGAATTTGGTCTTATAGTTGAGCTAAAGTTGCGATTGTGTTTTTAACTACCGTTCTATTTGACTTAACCAGATAACGATAATAATATATTTATTCGTTTAATCATTTGATATATCGAACAAATATAGATTTTTAAGGTTGCTCATGTATTGAGTTCAAGCAGCGAATTGCAAATTGCGGTACTTGTATTAAAAACTTAGTTTGGCAGCGTATGATGGGTGATTAGTTAGACTTTTAAATTAGGGGTAATCCAGATATTTTGACGTTTTTATGTTCGGAGAAAAAAGACGAATATACCCACTAAATTCGCGTTTACTTTGTAGACCTTGAAGGTTTTTATTTATTCAGACTAAGAAATTTGACCTCGGACGAAAAGTTACCGAGCGCAGCAAAACTCTTCAATTGAATAGAATAGTCATTTTATTCCCTGCTACAGCATCTTTGTATAATATGCATACGGATTTATTTGCTCAAAGGCATAGATAGAGCAATAAAAGATATTTAGTCTCGCGCAACTGATAGTTACAATATTTATGAGCATTTTAAGTTCATTTTGTGGTAATGAGTCTAATTTCTCTACCATTGGTAATCTTACGGTGATAATCCTACGTTTCTATATGGTTAGTGTTAGTAATTACTTTCACGCTGGTTTGACCAAATACTTTTAAATCAGATCGCTTCCTATTTGAAATGTCGTCATACCTCGCAAGCATTATGAATGCGGAAGAACGGCGTGTGTTGCTCATAGATTCGTGCTGGAAATACGTGGATGACGTATGACGTGGAAATTGATCAAAAGCTGTTTTATTTTGCATGTACAGCGCGCTATTAGTTAATGCTTTCTCGATATTATTACCAGGGAAATCATGCAAGTGTAAGTTAGTAATTGGGGATGCTGTTATAGTCAAATAACGCATGGCCAGTTAATAAGCGTTTGCATTTAGTGTTAGTTTCTGTGATGACGGTGGCCATCAAGTCTGCTTGGATATGGAATGATTATATTATGTTTGAGACTCAAATAAAGAGGACTGTGTCTTCTAAGAAATCTTACGATTAAATAATGGTACAGTCAGTATTTTTAACGAAATTGAAACTACTTTGAATTCATGAATTGAATTCCTCGTTCGCATTCGGGATTGTAGAAAATATTTCAGAATTGATACAATCACTACGACAAATGTTGTCAAAGTTAGGCCATCGACCTATAGCTAAATATGGTGTTGCGATATGATCTTTGTATATGATTCTAACTAATAGTAGATGCAGTCGACGAATTATCAAAATTTAAATTCACGCTCCAGATTCTAGAACTATGAGAGGGAAGTGAATGTGTTTACCATATTAGATACCATAAATTTGCAAAAATGACTCATTGACGACTTCTTGGAACTCACACCATCATGTACCTCAAGTTAGTAATGGCCATAGTTTCAACAATCATGCATTGTAACCAAAAATTAGAGTACCAATACCAGTAAATAGATTGTCCCACATCAAAAAAAAAAAATATTTGGATGAGATAAAACTGTTACTGTGTAAGTCAAGATAGAAAAATGTATGTACTTTAATATTGTCCTTATTGCTGTGGTATATTATTGGTTGTGCAACGCAAATCGCCGTTTATCTGTAGTACAATGAAATGTCGCAGAATTTTGAAAATTACACTTGGGTGCTCCCGATATGCTGTTCGATGGTGTGTCAGTCAAATATATCACTTCCGTATTGGCTTTCGTTGCGTGTCCTTGTACCTTGTACTCAATGTCATCTATACCGGTCATATATGAAAGCAAATGCATGCTATTTCAAGGTGGAGCGCAACCCTAATGAAACATTCTAGAGCTCGGGGTTTCCCGGTGAAATACTTTAATTGTGTTTTATTGTCGGAATTATATAAACCATAAGGTTAGGGTTGTTCAGGTTGTGCGTCATCTTGGTACGAATACTTCCGGAGCGCCAACTATAAATATATATAAAGCCAACCTGATACTATACTTGCAAAGTAAAATGATCTTTGAAGATTCCTAAAAATCTGCATTTGAAGCTAAAATCAGATAGTTATAACTCGCACCCAGAGGAGTGCCAAACTTTTCTGCTCCGCTTGTCGTGTTTCTGATAATGATGCCTCTTGCTGACTTCCCCTTCACCACAATCAGTCACACAAGACTATTATACGTAATGTCAGCTTTTACTCGAATAAAAACGCATCGAGAAAAACGTGTAATAACGCCACAGCTTGTTCTTTACAACGTGCTGTCCGGGGTGTCTGCCCTATCGCACTCTCCTAGACCCGCTTCTGCTTATACCATGAATCATATTATGAAATGTTAGGCGAAATGAGCAAGAATTTGACATTTTTAAATCATGGTGAATCTGATGGTCATGGTGTCGCGTTCCTTACTGTATAAGGAAAATCGTGAAAAGAAAGAATTTGAACATGTTATGACATTAGAAGAAACCAGTTGCTTGGTATTTCCATTTAAAATGTCTGTGAATTTTACTCGGAACTAATACACCCAGTGATTTCGAGGAGAGTATTAAAAAAAAGGATGATTTTATATAAGAATCTGAAATTATTTTTTATGTTCTTGGCGAATTCAGGTCCCAGACCTCAAATAGATCCGAAATAGATCCGATCCGATATATCAATTTTAATAAAATTATATAATGAATTCATGGGTCCTTATATCTCTCTGAACCCACAAGAAACGTGATCGTCACCCAAAGTAAATATTATTGCATCATTGATTTATGTAATTGTATCGTCGAATTGTTTTCAAATAGTCTGTTGCGGAGACCGTGAAGTAAAAGCGATTTCTAGTAATATCGTTTTAGCGGCTATATTGAGAATATATTTAACTTGCATTCCAACTGATGATAACTGTGATTTGGATTTGAATGTTGTGAGATTTTTGTTTCCGATTTAAATTGTGAAACAACATGATTTGAAGACTACGTTTCGAGATTACTGTACTCGATGTAATTTTGCGCGACAAGTTCTAATTATGACGTAATCACAACAGACTAAGATGACTAATTTCAAATAATTTCAGCCTTGCATAGACAAAAATAAACGAGTGTAGCAACAAAATTAGTCTAAGTTTGGAAAAAAATAACTTTTGAAATCGGACGAAGTTACTTTTTAGGTTGAATGAAGCATTCCTAATCAAGCTATTTCCAGTACATTTATGATAGGTTCAATTTCCGGTGCCGGTTAACTTTTTAGTGACGATTGAATACGTGTAATAATGACGTGATCATTTTCAATCAATACCGTTATATACAACTTATGATAGATACAAATGCGATTTTGTTTGCGAAATATCGTATAGGAGTGAAGGGCATATGGAGGATATACAGATATAAGTATTTCCGCACATTCGATGACTAAAGTTTGCCATGTTTCAAAAGATTACCCAGAGAAGAATTAGCAATATATGTCAAAATACAGAAATTTTATTCAAATCAAAGCAGAGAAAAACTCACAAAAGATAACTACGGACACTAACTGTTAGACCAGGCAGAATTTGAAAGATAGCGTCTAGTTTTCGCATACCTCCAAAACATTCTAGTGCCTTTCTGTTTGATGCATCTCCGAAATGGAACCGCTGTAACAAGACAAGTTACGAAGAATGGGCAGATCCATCCTCATTGCTCTGTCGTAAACGTTGTCAAAGTATTGTTGCTAGAGGCGATTTCATTATTATTTTTATTAATAAGATATTAGTATGGTTTTTGCTTTAATTGGGAATTTTGCAGGTCACCGAAAAAACTTGCCTGTTCGCCATTCCTTTTAAACCGAGTGATATTGGCGCAGTGACGGTGAGAAGCCCACTAGTGACTGAATATTTTGCGGCGTAAAATTCAACTCATACTCTAGCTGTGAAGTATATAGAATCCTAGAGCTTTGAACATTCAACATTCTAAGCATTCACGCTAGTCTTTATGCTATGTTTAACTTTATTTTGCTCAAATATGTTGGTTACCGCCATTATAGCGTTCGTTCGTAAATTCGCTCAGAAATCAATCCGCTTCATTTCTGAATGAGAGCTCGCGACCTAGCTTTGCGCACATTTCCATGTAAAAATATTCTATACGCAACGAGTTTCATTTTGAGCGCAACGATTGTTGATTGGGATCAAATTGTTGAATAATCGGCGAAATGATGATTGATTGATGTCCAAGTAGGATAATTTATATTTATGAACAGAATGCCGAAAATTTCACTGGCGAATTAAAATTGGAATGTTTGTATAAATTGTAATTCATTTTTTACTTCGTACGAATGTGCCTTAGAATGAAAAGCAAAGAGTGGAAATATTGGGGACATTAAAATTATATTCATTGAGCTAGAAGCCCTGACCTCAGAAAATATTGCAAAATAACCTAAAATCATTAAATTTGTGAATAGATGAGTATGTTCAAAAATCATTCAAATTTTCTTTTTAAACTTCATCTTGTGCAAAGTCAATATAAAACTTCTTCGTCTTTGCACATGAACCTTTTTCCTTTTACCTTGTCTTAATACTTAATTTTTATTTTATATTATGATAAGATTATAATTTAAATTTACTCATATACAACTAATATGCCTGAAACCGAGGAAGAAAAGCAAAAGAGATGGGCGAAAAGCCGGGCAATGGCTTACATGACACCAGCTATGGTGCATGCCATGGAGATGTCAAAGTACCAGAGCCAGGTAGAACTTAAACTAGGACAGTTGTTTTCCACCCTTTTCAGTCGATCGAAACTCCAATGGAACATTCCAGAGGGTCCAGAAGCCCTTGTGCAATGCGTGTATGAACTGCAACCTAATACAGTGGTTCCCACTTTTATTTCAATCGACCCAATTTTTTCAAAAAAATGAAGTTTGTGAAAACTGGCGATCCAAGGATAATCTCAAATACTAAACTGCATGTTGTGATTTTATGAATTCAAATTAAACTACCATATACAAAACAATTTTTACATACATACTGTTTATTCGACGAGAAATTGCCTCAAAGTTCGAACACGCTTGTTTCCCTTTAACGAGTTTTGAAATCGTGACGTGGGTTCAAAGCCAAATAGATGTTGATAAGTTTTTACGTTTTGATCATAACTTACTATTACTGCTGAGCAACACTCTAATAACAAACAAAAAATAAACAATAAATTTTGACAAAATTTAAAATCCTAGTTTTCAGTGTTTGATTTTGTATAAACAAGCGACCAACGAGTGTTTTCAGGCGACCCGGTTTTGGGTCGCTATCCATAGGTTGGGAATCACTGACCATATATATTGACAAAACAAAACGATGTTAAAAATGTAGCAAGTTTATTAAATAGTGGTGTTTTATTATATTTAAAGATTAATCCAAGTTAAATATAAACTTGTGGAATCGCTGACCTGTAAGGGCGGATCCTTGGGTGCCCCGTAACCTTGGTTGAATACCACTGAACTGTAGAATATAACTTTGATATTGAAAAAATCTAGATAAAACAGAAAATACATTCAGATATTTTATGGTGCAGATTTATTTAACAACAATTGAATAGTAGAAAAGATTTTTGAAAAGGAGTAATAAATGATTATTATATTTTCAGAATAAGTACAAAGAGCAGTTCAATAGAACAAAAGGCAAAGGTTATACTGCAGTATCGAGCACGCCAGAACTGGAACACGTCAAAAAACAATCTATCCGGCTCAGTCAATCTAAGTATAAATCAGAGTTCGAGAAGAATAAATCAAAATTCACATCCGTAAGTAAACACGTATTTAACTTGTGACATATAAAAATTCTAGTTTGCTTCAGTTTTATATACAGTGTGTTAAAAAAGTAACGCAAAGTTAACAGAAGTTAAGATGAAATGCTACTTAAAACATTCAACGACTGACACCTTTTAACAGTATTGAATTACGGTGAAATATCATTTAAACATTTCATGACTGACACTTTTTAACAGTTACTTATTTTAAGTTGCCATCTTGAAATATTGTACCTCAATTTTGTGTTACTTTTTTAACACCCTGTATTTCTCAAAACACAGCTTGTTTGGTTTCAGCTCTAGGTTGGTTCCAATGCCGAGTATTTTAATGGAAAAAATTATCGTTATCTGGTATCGGGCCAAAAAGCAGTATTATTGTTCACTTATAAACCAATCAAGCAATGCTCAAATATACCAACACGAAGGCCAAACAACTAATCCTCGAGCGATTCTCTGATCAACTACTGTAATAATTCACATCGCCGAACGGCCTCTGCTGAGCGCTGGTTGCTTCGGTTGCCTTGTCTAATAAGAATTATTCTCCGTTGACAAGAGTGCAACTTCTGTGTTAATCATTTACATTGTAATGCTTACTATCTTTTAACATTATGGCAGTTATTAAATTTAGATTAAGATAGTTTGAAAACTTGTGCCCATTCGATTTCACTTTACACAACGTATAGAACCGCCAATGACGAAACAAATAACTTCGATTTGAACGTGTAAATTTTGGGTCTTAATATCAAATAACGCTTACTGAATTTTTGGAATTGTTACTGAATTTAGACCAAGATAGTTTGAAAATTTGTGCCCATTCAATTTCACTTTACACAATGAAGAACCGCCAATGACGAAACGAACAACTTCGATTTAAACATAAAAATTTTGTGACTAAATTTTGAATAACGATTTCTACATTTATAGAATTGAATATACGCTCGTATAGTATTGTAGGACAAATAAAATGATGGGTAATGCTAAAAATAACATAAAATAGATTTTAATATTCAAGTTGATATTTGTAATATTTTGGATTTTAAGATTATGAAGTTTAAACCATGCCATAAAAATCAACTTTGCAGGTAGCTGATGATCCTGAAACACTGCGAATAAAAAAGGTCACAAATCAAGTGAGTAAAGTTGCTTATTCAGGACGAGGAACAGCAATGGCGGAAAGTAAAAGAAGGGGGAGGCCCGCTGGTAAACAAGGTAAGCTCCTTCAAAATATACCGCGATCAATATCATTTTGGAGGAGGGGTGGGCCCACTTTTCTGAGTGAGCCGGTTACAGATAATAGACTTTAGGTTACTGGGCCGAATGCTCAAAACTCCAAAACTCAATATAAAACTATGAATAAAAACAGTTCATCCACAAATAACTAGAGTAACATCGAATGTACAACAAACGGCTAGCGTACTAAGTGGCACAATTATACATAACAAGTGGAGCATTATATTCAGGTACTGATAATACGTTGGGAATTACGGTCTATATTTTAGCCGGTGATTTTTTGTTTTCACCGCATATTTATATCCGTAATAACTATAGTCATAATTTCAGCAGGCACAAGTGGGCCGGATGAAACACTCCGGTGGGCCGGATACGCCCGCGGGCCATAATTTGCCCAGCCCTATCTAGAGATATTCCAATAAATCCAAATGAGATCGGTTTGATACCAATCCCCATTCTTTATAAATTTTATTTAAAACGCTTCCATTTTTGGAGACATCGTAATAACTTTGAGGGAAACGATTTTATACTCACCTTTGAGTCTTGCTTCCTCGTTCTTTATTATGAGGGGAACGTTCTTTATTACTTTTATTTACAAGTTATTGCACTTCATATATAAATACGAGACTTTTTGTCTGCAGAAGAAGCCCCGACTAAACCCGACCCTGAACCTGTAGCGGAAGAAGTTCAGGAACCAAGCAATGGGATATCCCACGAAGAAGAAAAAGACAACGACGCAGAAGACACCAAAGAAAATGGCGATTCTCACTCATACGAACAAGAACACGATTCGTATTCCAATGGACAAGACCACAAAGAGGCGGAGGAAGAGGTTCAAAATGAAACGTCAGGTGAACAAGAACACGAGTATTCACCAACAGAAAATGGAACAAACGTCCATCCCGAGGAAGTGGTAGAAGAAGAACAACATGGTGAACAACAAGAATATGGGTATGAAAACACGGAGACTCAAGAAAATACAGGACAAGAATACGTGGAAGGGGAAGACGATGCTGAATTTAAATCCTATGACGAGGAAGGAGGAAATCTGGACGACTTTTACGCTAACCTTGGATGAAATGCGACCTTGGTTTTCGCTAATAGTTTACTTTAAATGCCTCCGTTCCTGAAATTCTATTTGAGCGCTAGACTTAAATTTATGGACAAAAACTTGTAAATACCGACACTGTGTAAGATGTTGAAAATAGCTTCTTCAATTAGAAGACTCTGTTGAAGAGGTAAAACCTCACAGAACAACGATGTAATATGTTTTAAAACATAATAGTTTATTCACAAGGTTTCGAGTTTATGGACTTTTCCCCGACCTTTGACCCCCGAAAAATTCTCCCTATACTTTACCATTGTGAAATTTTTGGGGGGTATTTCAAGAGTGATTTTGCGAGTTGGCGCCTGTGAAATGGGGCATGTGTTTCAAACCATCATTATGATTCATCGCATACAACAATCTGTTTCTTTAAAAGGACCGTTAGAGAATTTTAGCCTAATCTATCACAACTATTTCTACACTAATTTTTATTACTACAATTAAATTAAAACTCCTAGGAAGACAGGGTGACTATTGAATTATCTAATTTACATTTAAGTTTCCGAAACAAAACTGAAAACTAACGAATAGAGTTCAAAAATGCGAAAACGAGGTAATGTTTACGACCACGCTTGAAAATCTGTCTAAGTGAGAAATGTGTCTGGGCGGATGCGAGAAGGGAGCATTGTTACGTCACTTTTTGCAATTTGCTGATTGGCCAATGTCACGAAGTAAACAAGGAAGTCGATGCTCTGGGAAAGGTCCATTGCGAACAGTAGCCTAAATTAGCTCGACTAAATTTTTTTGTGAAATTATTGAAATTTTCCTGGATGAAATAATTTAATATTTGGACTTCTGCCAGCACATGTGATATACAATATATATATATAGCATGTTTCGGTCTACAGAGTGATTTTTTTGTTTTTTAAAACTAAATCTATTTTTGGGAGAATGATTAAAGGACCTAATATTTTTTCTGTTTCTCATTATGATTTCACCATAGTTGGACCAGTACAAATAACTACTATCCTATACCAAAGAATTATGCAAAAAGAATCTTTGCTACCCCACATCTCAATATTTTTTATACCAGAACAATCAATTTCCTCATGACTTTTAAAAGATGAATTACCCTCGTTCAATATATATATATATATGAATGTATTGTTTTTCAGATATATACCGAAATTATATATTCAAGTAAATGCTTATTGTCAATTATAATAAGACATAATTATACAAATTTTGCTTTATACGAAAATTGTTGTACACACATAATTTAAATCTCTGTAAAATATACAAAATTTTTTTTTTTTTTGTTTAGCTTTCGCGTGATTATAAATTAAACGGATTTGTATCAACATTGTATTATATGAACTGAAACATTACTGCTACTCTGCAATGAGTTTACCATACCAACTGTTTATTCCATTTATATACAGGATAATAATACAAGTATAAAGTCTGACTCGTATAATTGAAAAATATTGAAATATGACATTTTTCTGCAATTTTTTTACATTGCTTCAATGATAAACTACATGAATAACTATTACTGGGACCAAAAAGACAACTATTTATCAGAACATATCTATTTATATCAAGTTACTGGTTTGTATCAATGTAATTAAAGCTATAAGCACCACTTAAATTTTCTTTTTTTACGAAATAGGCTCATGTGTATTCCAACCTTGCTAAATGTAATCAATCAATTTTATTTGTGGCTCGCTATTGTTCTCCTGCTGCACTTTTATTATTGTTTTAGACTTTTCTTGTTTGATTTCAGCGGACCCAATATTATTGCAATATTATTGTTACTATTATTATTAAAGACAGAGAATAAACATTAATTTTACGTGTGGAAACTTTCTATAAATTTATATTTCTAGAGGATACTCCTGTAGTATGTGTACCAGGTTAGAGTTAGGCCATAATTTTATTCCGATTTTACTTAATTTAGTCGTATTACGAGTTCGGTGACTGTTTGTGTTAGCCAAGTGAATATACCCCTTGCCCATAGGTTTCAGTTTCTTTACCCGAGTTGATGTAAAGTAGGCGAACAAAATTAGTTACCTTCATATTGGTGCACACACTTCCTGAGCGCCTTCAAGAGTGCAAATCAGGGCCCTTGTCCAGCTATACTTTTTAAACAAAAAATCAGAGAACGTGCCTTCAGGTGAAAAATGAAAGTTTTACGAATCATTAAAAACGCTTACAGCAACTTATGATAAACGTAGGAAGTCTTTAAGGGGAGAAAACATTCGAACTCAAACTTAGCAGTTTGTTGTTGTAGGTATATATTGGAGACATGTCTAGACATGTCTATTCAATAACCGATCAATCAGCCATTAAAATGTTTCAATGCTATTTCAGTACAAAAGCACACTTTCATCACTCAACACTAATATTCCTTAGAGATTTGAGTGTGCAGTCGTATCTTAGATATCAGAACACGGAGAAGGAGAACTGTCTGATCTTGACAACTGTAATCGGAAAGAAATTGGCATTGGTTTTAGGTTTTATTGACGGAAAACTATCTTTAGCTGGTACTTAGTAATACAAAGTCCCCAATGAATTTGGGAACATTTCATAGATTAATATAGCAGTCGATAAACAACAGCTGCTTACTAAAACCCATCTATGAGTGCGGCATGTATATAACAGTAATATGAGCCGTTTGGTATTTTATTCCTGTGAAATTCATCAGATGGACAGGATATCGGCGGGCAAAACTGATTCATTTTTCTTGGTGGCATTGTTAATTTTCCAATACTTTGCTTGTACGTCTAAGGCAAGTATCAGTCTCGGAACCTGTCAGCTTTCATGTGATGAGAACGAAAACCAGCTCCCTTCTAGCGTAAGAGGTCCACCTGGACCACCGGGAAAGCGAGGTCCAGTAGGAAACCGCGGATTAGTTGGACCGAAAGGATCACCAAGTAGTTGCTGCGAAGATCTTGTTGAACGAAACAAACAGCTTGAACGTCAAGTTCAGGAGTTAAATGGTTAAGTAAACAAAATGTTAAAATGCAAGCATTGGAAAGCGTGGTGTCTTGATTTCCTTGTTATAGTTTCCTATCAGTTTTGTATACAAGTGCATTTTTGAAAAGAAATTTTTTTTTAAGTGTGAAAGCTCGCAGATCAGGGCTCTTGTTCAGCTACTTTTTAAACAAACAAATCAAAGTACGTGCCCCAGTCTTTAAAGGGAGAAAAATTCGAACTCCGCAAATGGAGGTTAAAGAAAATCCAAAACTGACGCAAAGACTGAATTTATTTGATATGGTCTCTTACTAATTATTAGTTCGGCATAGCGCATTGTTTGGATGAAAAATTACAAGTAGCAAACTCGAATTGCAACTGTACGGCATGGAATGGAACTCAACATAAGTGACAGTGAAACTTTTTTCTAGAACGGATGTTTCCACGGGACTGTGCAGCCGTGAAGAATCACGTGATATCAAGTGGAACTTACATGATTCATCCGTTCAATGAAACTAAACAAGGAGTCCAAGTGTATTGTGATCGAGAAACTGATGGAGGCGGTTGGATTGTGAGTAGTGTCTTCGGAAAACTTTTTGTCTATGTTTAACAATTTGTAGACCAACATCACGAGGCCCAAACAGAAATCATAACAAACCCACTTCTCATCTATATTAAATACCTCAATTCCATGTAACCTGACTTAGATGAAACTTTGGAATATTAAAGTCAAAGTGGCATTTATTCTATAAGTAATTTCATTTAATTTTTTCCTCGGTACACGTGTTCAATATGGTTGCCGTGCAGAGGGCAATCAACCATTTTAAGTCATCATCTTATTATTATTTGCCGCCCAATAGAATTAATCTATGTCTAATGAGATAGGCTGGAGTTATAGTTGAAGGCCGTTATTTACATTTACATCGATAAGCAACCTGTCAAGCTTCGAAGGGGACAAATACTTTTTGACCAAGATGGCCAGCCTGTAGAGTATGTAGCTGGCTGTATCCCTGAATTCCTTCGTCTAAATAAAGGATTGCTACTGGCTTACAATGTGTTAATCTTATTCCAAAATGATTAATCCTATTCGTTTATTAAGTATAGAAATATAATACGGTAATGCAAACTGATGAATGAGCTACCATAGTGACGTATAATACAGTATTCTGCAGTCAATAAACTGCAGCTTAATCATATGGCGTACCACAGACTCTCGTCGGGTTAGCAGTTTTTTTGTTTCAGGTGCATGAACTTTATGTTGAAGGTAGGTGAAACCGACTAGCAGTTACGTGCACCACCCTATGGCGATGAGAAGTCCAGAAATCCTTATGGCACAGAGGAAAAGATTACAAGCATCTGAGTAGAATGGTTGCCACTGAAATTTCGACGATTACAAAACAATTTTAATTTTTCCTGCCACGTTCATTTTTAGGTAATACAGAGAAGACTTGACGGAACTGAAGATTTTTACCGTAACTGGAATGACTATGTCTCAGGTTTCGGTTACAAAGAACGAGAATTCTGGCTAGGTATACTTGAAATTACAAACCGTTTGATTTCTTAGATATTAGCTCTAATTAGTAATTTGTTCAAAACAGAAAGGCATTTTCATATTTATATCACAACTTTTTCTGCGCATCATGGCGTTGATATTGACAAGGGAATATAATTTTTTCGTAGCGCCTCGAAGATTATGGTGATAAGGATTAGATAATCTGACTAGCATATATATAATGGCCCTGCATAAGAAGCGGCTCAACATGACTTGTGAATGAAGTGACTCGACTCGGCTTCGTTCTCGAGCGTTACAAACTGCCGGCTCCGGAATAAAAATAATCCCTTATTCAAGGACAGAAATGGGGGCTAAACACTAACAATCGATATCTTTATAATTCACAGGACTGGAGACGATGCATAGAATATCCACCAATGGTCCTCATGAGATTCGATTCGACTTTATCACAAGAGACAACAAAAAATTATTCGCAAAATACGGGTAATTGAAATTTTTTAAACGAACTGCCAAATAGTTTGTGTACTTTGTTCAGTGTTTGATAAAATGAATGAACGAAGAAGGGCTTACAAAACGGTCGGTTATTTATTAAACCACCATTTCAAGTGTACCAATAGTTAAACATATACCGTAAATTAAAAATTAAAATTTTAGAATGTAAAAGTCACGAGAGAGATTATACTCTTTATATATTTCAATTACAGATGTATTCTAATGTTTAGACAATTTCAAATTTCTGGAGCAGAAGACAATTATCGAATAACAATTACCGGATATTCAGGAAATGCAGGCATGCTCAAAATAATTGTTATAATAAACAATTGACAATAACACTGTTTTCCAATTTATATGGTATGTGTATGTTTAAAAACTTGAATTTAAATGTATATATACTCAGTTCATCGATCTCCTATAACGATACAATTTAATATAGTAACATGTATCGCACTGCACTTATTCTTGGGTGACTGAATTTATAATGTTGTTTCTATTAACAGGCGATTCAATGCCGCACCATAACAATAACCAATTTTCAACGAAGGATCAAGAAAACGACCACTACCCAGGAGGAAGTTGCGCTGAAGAGTTCAAAGGGGGGTGGTGGTACAATAATTGCCACCTCGCTAACTTAAATGGTTTATACGCGGACACGACATCGACCAAGGGTTTATCCTGGTTTAGGTGGAAAAATTCATACGCTCCATTTGCAAAATTTGTAGAAATGAAGATCAGGAAACGCAGAGACTAAACAACGTGCCAAATTTTAAATAGTGTGAAATAATATAGTTCTCGTCATCTATCCTACAATCAAATAAACATATGCCTTATCGATTTGTAAAATTTGGCCTGATATGTGTTTTTATGAGTGTCAAAAGTATCATGTTTGCGCAAAGTGGAATAATAACAAAATTATAAAAAAATGAAAAAAAAAACTGTATACATTTATAGTGTCAGTATATTACTTTCTTTTGAGTCTTGTCATATAATGCTATTCATTCACATCATTCGAGTTTTTTGTAATAAGGGTAGTACAGATAGATGAGTTTCATATTAATGCACTGTCAGGTCTACTATATATACATGTTAAAAGTTTTCTCGCTTATTATAACAAACCGAGTGAACATAATGTAAAATATTTTTCATTTGTTGCATGGAGCGCAATTTTGTTCTGACTAAAAGATAATCATAACAAGAGTTCTAAGATTTGGGTGTTCCAAAATTTAAGTTATATATACTCAATAGTATGTATATTCGTCTATTCCATAAATTGAATCAAAGTTGAATCTCTTTTTGGTGAATATAGTCATGTGTTAATTTTTGCTCGTTGAAGCTTTTAAATTTGTCCACGTTATCACTTTGTGAAGTTGTGCATACCTACTATCGTAATTTTTGCATACGGTTTATTGCGATATAATAAAAAAGACTACCGCTCTTTTTCCGGCGCTCTAGAAGTCTGTGTATCAATATGAAGGTAACTAATTTTTTTCGCATACTTTACATCAAGTTGTTTAAAGGGACGGAAGCCTATGGGCAGGGGTATATTCACTTTGATAACACAGACAGTCCCGAACTCGTAATAAAATTGAAATGAGGAAAATCGAAATAAAATTATGGCTTAACCCTAACCTGGTACACATACTGCGGGAGTACATTAAACTTCAAACAACATTAAACTTTGCACTGGAATAAAAATTGTGAAACGACAACACATATTATTGATATTGTTAGCGATGAAACGTTAATAATGAAGTCCTTCGTTTAGCAACTCATAAGAAAGTCAAATTTTCAACTCAATAGAAGCTGTAACTACCGAGTCCACATTTGCAGTTCCCAGGATTTATTTTGTCTGATCACAGCACGCAAGGTCATTTTGGGGGTGAAAGAACAATCTATGAAATTTCCAAGTTGTACCTTTTACCAAACCAGAGAAGTAACTCGCCTATCAACCAGCTAAACTGAGATAATGCACAGATTATTTCCGCGCACGGTGTTAGTTGATATTTAACACGGTAAAATATCGATCTAACATAATAACAAAACGTTCACTTTATCATATTGGATTTATTATATTGGATCACACATCATTATACGTATAAAAAAAATATATGGTTGCCGAACACAATTAGTTCAGTGGAAGAGATTCGTATTAAATGCCGTATTTGTCGTATTAAATGCCCTTGCCTCTCCACTCCATAGATCATTACATAAAGTAAACCTTATACAAGATTGTGTTTCTCAAACGAGGATATATACAACCCAAGAAGAACCGGAGGTTTAAAGGGTATACCACATTGATAGAGTGCATAACTTATTTTATTGCAATGTGGCACAAATAAATCATAACGTGTATGTGCATTTAAATAGGCACCTTGCTACATTTATATTGCATTATATTTTTTTTTGTAAAATGTGATCACGGGAGATTGGACGTCGCTATTGAGTTCACTCCTTCGATCATGATGAAAAACCTTTTTTTAGCATCATTGGCAATGGCCGTTGTAGGCTACTGATGTTTTAATAGGTTAGTAATTCTCAGATGTGTACTATCTGAAAGTTACTACATAGAAATTACTTTCATAGTAGGACAAGTAAATACAACAACAAACGACATGCAAGAGATTTCTTCAATTGGCAATACCATCACATAGAGATCAATAACTATTGTCACTTATGACCTGATGCCTAGAGCCATTAACAAGGCTGAAATTGAAGCATAAATATCCTGTTCCATATTTGGAAAAGATGGAGATGCAAAGGCTACGCATAACTGCAGCGGCTACAAGATTCGATTCTAAATCGATATCAATTCTAAAATCGATCTGTAGAAAAGGGTTATGGACAGAGGCGTGTCAAATTTTTCTGCTGTCCAGGTCGAGTTTATGATATTGATCCCCTTAGACTAACCTCTAAAATAATGTTGGAGATAAACATATTATATAATATTATGCTGTTATGCATGAGAAATAATAAATTAAATTAAAACAATGAAATGTTTGTATTGTTTAAATTTAAATCACCAAACTAAGCAAAAAAAAATCACTCCTTCAACTTGCTGCCCTGGTTATGGGATATTCCATATTAATATCAAAACAGAAACATCAGCACCAGCAAGTTTTAATTAAATCGAGCAATATATAGGTCCTAATGAGATAGCAAGAATAACCGCAATACTGCACACTTTGAGAACCTAATTTGGTTAAATATCACAATGCTGCACTTTTAAACACAACAATACATGTGATGCATAAAGTATTTTTCGCGTGTATGTGTTTATTAGCGACATATTAATTTCATTCTGCTGCCATTACAGCCGTGACATAACTGCCTACTAAAACTCATTTAACAGCAGAGTCATCAACACAATGCGTTGTATATAAAAGCAATTATTCTGAGCCGTTTGGTATTTTATTCCTGTGAATTTCATCAGACGGACATGATGTGGACGGGCAACACTAAGTCATTTTTCTTGGTGAATTTTATCATTCTCCAATACTTCGCTTGTGAGTCTCAAGCAAGTATTAGTCTCGGAACTTGTCATCTTTCGTGTAATGAGGACGAAGCACAGCTCCCTTCTTGTGAGGAAGGTCCTCCTGGGCCACCTGGAGAGCGCGGCCCAGAAGGACCTCGCGGAATGATGGGACCAGAAGGGCCACCAAGTACTTGCTGCGAAGACCTAGTTGAACGACACGAACAGCTTGAACATCAAGTTCAAGAGTTGAATGGTAAGTTATGAAATGTTGCGATGCATTGGGAAACTACTTTTTATGTTTTAGTCTCTCGTTTAATATTAGTTTGGTATAGTTCATTATTTGGACGAAAAAATTGCAAGTTGCTAACTTTCATTGCAATTGTACTTGTTGCTTGTACATTCGGGCAATTGTTATTTGCATGGGGAAGAACGAAATAAATATATTTTGTTTGGTTATTCGATACGATACAAAGATCAATACTCTGACTTGGGAAGTTTATTTATACTCGTAACATAGCTCGATAACATGTAAAGATAATTTTCCAAACAATCCTTAGTTTTTTTAATTATCTAAACAGGCGTGGAACATAATAAAAGTGAAATTACTTTTTTTAGAATGGACATTTCCTCGGGATTGTGCAGCGGTAAAAAGTCACGTGATATCAAGTGGAACTTACGTGATTCATCCGTTCAAGGAAAGCAAACAAGGAGTCCAAGTGTATTGTGATCAAGAAACCGATGGTGGTGGATGGATTGTGAGTAGAGTTTTGATAACCCTCATGTACCCTTGTATCACCATGCGGCGGTGAGGAGTTGGGCAATTCTTATGCATACAAGAGAGCTATGCTCAAATATATGGACACGTAGCGCCACCCAATGGCAATAATTTTGATGACGTCATAGCTAAAAAAAAAAAGTAATAGCCTTCTGGAGAAAAATTTTATCTTTATCCACTGAAAATTTCAAAGCAGTTGGTCCAGTATTCGAAGAGAAAAGCGATTTTTTTAATGATAATGACGAAAGAAAATAACAATAACAACAAAATTTTGAAACGATCGTTATGGCCACTAAACGTGTCCAATAATCATCCACGGGATTCAAACCTGTGAGCTCACGCAGTGTAATCAGAGGTGTCATGGAAAGCGTCGTTCTAACACTAAGCCTTAGATTTTAGACCAATGCGTCACCAACCGCGCAAAAATAATACCCATATAATATTGTATTATTGCATATTCTCGTTTTATGACACAGAGAAATATTACAAACTTCTGAGTAGAATAGTTGTCCCAAAAATATGACGATCGGAACTCATTTTCAATTAAACTGTCACATTCATTTTTAGGTAATACAAAGAAGACTTGACGGATCGGAAGATTTTTACCGTGACTGGAATGACTATGTTACCGGTTTTGGTTACACAGAACGAGAATTCTGGCTAGGTATACTTAATATCATGAACATATTTTTGCCTTGGTTATTTAAAATATAATAAAAGTTACATAATGTCATATTGATGATGGCGTACAGGGTGTTGGCGTTAATATTACAAAACTGTCACTCTACTTCTGGTCCACCCAAAATACCTGATTCTAAACAATTTTATTTCTCAAAATATGACCCTGGCTTATGACTCGGGAATGCAGCGATTCGATACCGTTCTCGATCGTTAAAAACTTCCGTTGTTCAAGGTTTGACTTCGGAAACGTGGGCTAACCAATAGCTAACTGGCTAGTCTAACTCTATATTTGACGTAAAATATTGACTAGAATTGACTCATAGTTGGAAAAAACACGATTCAAGTTTTCAGAAACGTTTGCTAGTGACATCTTTATAATTCACAGGACTCGAGACGATGCATAAAATATCCACCAATGGTCTTCATGAGATTCGATTCGACTTTATCACAAGAGACAACGAAAAATTATTCGCAAAATATGGGTAATGCAATATTTTTTTACGCACTGTTAAATATTTTGTAAACTCTTTTTAGTGTTTGATAAAATGAAAGAGCGTAAAAAGGCTTACAAAACGGTCGATTATTCAGTGAACTACCATTTCAAGTTTGCTAATAGTATTACGTGTGAATATACAGGGTGTACTTCAATTCCTTTTGAAATTCTCAATATTTTCAAACCAGGTTTGTTGTATTCTAATCAGTAATTGTTTGAGTATTTTACCGTTAATTAATACATCTGTGAGGCCCAAAACAATATATGGTATCGATAAATTACCTTTGCAATTTTGAAGAATGGTATTCATGTATATTTAGATTCTAGAATGCTACATAAAAGTAACAAAAGGAATTTGTTGAGGCATTTGATGTTTCAAAGATTGCTCCGCATTTTCGTTTGTTCATCGTCATCGTTCCGTGCAAATTTTTTAAAAGTATTCTCATTCTAAAATAAACTGAAATATCATATATATATATGTAAATATACAAAAAATACTCTAATTTTCAGACAATTTCAAATTGCTGGAGCGGAAGACAATTATCGAATAACTATTACTGGATATTCGGGAAATGCAGGTATGCTCAAGATAAATTGTAAATTTAACAATAAACAATAACGCTGTTTTTCGATTTATATAGCAGCGGTTACCAACCGGGAAAAACCCAATGGGGTTAGCAGTTGGAGTGCGCCAGAGTGCTAGACGCTAAGCTGATACTACTTTGGCCTCGACAAGAAAACTTCCCATTCTCCCTAGTTTCATTGTTTGATAAGGTTATTTCTGAGGGTGTTTTTACTAACATAATTGGATTTGAAATCATAAACAGAATGGTCATGAGAGCTGAAAGCCTCCGAAAGGAGGAACGACTCACGAGTATAAATAGTTGAAAACGGTGACCGTAC